CTTTCACGTCAACGAAGGTGTCCACCATCACTAAAGCTCTTTCCACACTCTAGGCATTTATCTGGCTTCTCTCCTGACCGGATTCTTTGATAGTTAAAGCTTCCATTTGTTGTGAAGGATTTTCTGCACTCTAGACATTTATATGGTTTTTCTACTGTGTGAATTTGTTGATATTGGCTGAGATGTCCTAACTGACTGAAAGTTTTCCACACTCCATGCATATAGGGTTTTTCTCCAGTGTGAACTCTTTGATGTATTCTCAGATATTCAGTCTGTCTGAAGCTTTCCCCACATACTATGCATTTATAGGGTTTCTTTCCTATGCAGATTCTATGATGTTGACTGACCTATTAGTAAAACTTTTTCCACACTCCAGGCATTTATATAGTTTTTCTACCGTGTGAATTCGTTGATATTGGCTGAGATGTCCTAACTGACTGAAACCCTTTCCACGCTCCAGGCATATAGGGTTTTTCTCCAGTGTGAACTCTTTGATGTATTCTCAGATATTCAGTCTGTCTGAAGCTTTTCCCACATTCTATGCATTTATAGGGTTGCTTTCCTATGCAGATTTTATGATGGTGACTGACATATTACTAAAACTTTTTCCACACTCCAGGCATTTATATGGTTTGTCCTGAATGGATTTTTTGATGTCTATGAAGGTTTCCACTCAGACTGAAACTCTTTCCGCACTCCGGGCATTTACATGGTTTTTTTCCTGAATGGATTCTTTGATGTCCATAAAGGCTTCCCCTTTGACTGAAACTCTTTTCTCACTCCAGGCACTTATAAGGTTTCTCTCCTGAATCGATTCTTTGATGTGTATTAAGGCTTCCCCTCTGACTGAAACTCTTTCCACATTCCAGGCATTTATATGGCTTTTCTCCTGAATGGATTCTTTGATGTCTATAAAGGCTTGCCCTCAGACTGAAATTCTGTCCACACTCCAGACATTTAAATGGTTTCTCTCCTGAATGGATTTTTTGATGTGTATAAAGGTTTCCGCTCAGACTGAAACTCTTTCCACACTCCATGCATTTATATGGCTTTTCTCCTGAATGGATTCTTTGATGTCTATAAAGGCTTGCCCTCAGACTGAAATTCTGTCCACACTCCAGACATTTAAATGGTTTCTCTCCTGAATGGATTTTTTGATGTGTATAAAGGTTTCCGCTCAGACTGAAACTCTTTCCACACTCCATGCATTTATATGGCTTTTCTCCTGAATGGATTCTTTGATGGGAATAAAGGCTTCCACTCTCATTGAAGCTTCTTCCACACTCCAGGCATTTATACGGTTTCTCTCTGGTGTGAATTTTTTCATGTTGACTGAAATGTCCTAACTGACTGAAACTTTTCCCACACTCCAGGCATTTATATGGTTTCTCTCCTGTGTGAATTCTTAGATGTTGACTCAGGTGCCCACAATTGGTAAAGCTGTTTCCACACTCTAGGCATTTATATGGTTTCTCTCCTGTGTGAATTCTTAGATGTTGACTCAGGTGCCCACAATTGGTAAAGCTGTTTCCACACTCTAGGCATTTATATGGTTTCTCTCCTGTGTGAATTCTTAGATGTTGACTCAGGTGCCCACAATTGGTAAAGCTGTTTCCACACTCTAGGCATTTATATGGTTTCTCTCCTGAATGGATTCTTTGATGTCTATAAAGGTGTCCCCTTTGACTAAAACTCTTTCCACACTCCAAGCATTTATACGGTTTTTCTCCTGTGTGAATTCGTTGATGTTGGCTGAGATGTCCTAACTGAATGGAACCTTTTCCACACTCCAGGCAGTTATAAGGCCTCTCTCCCAAGTGGATTCTTTGATGTCTATAAAGGCAACTGAAACTTTTTCCACACTCCAAGCAATTATATGGTTTTTCTCGTGAATGGATTCTTTGATGTCTATAAAGGCTTCCACTCTCACTGAAGCTTCTTCCACACTCCAGGCATTTATCAGGCTTTTCTCCTGTGTGAATTCTTAGATGTCGACTCAGGTGCCCACAATTGTTAAAGCTCCTTCCACACTCTAGGCACTTATAAGGTCTCTCTCCTGTATGGATATTTTGATGGCTTTTGAGATACTCATTTCTAATGAAACTCTTTCCACACTCCAGGCATTTATATGGTTTATCTCCTGTGTGAATTCTTAGATGTTGACTCAGGTGCCCACAATTGGTAAAGCTCTTTCCACACTCTAGGCATTTATATGGTTTGTCTCCTGAATGGATTCTTTGATGTGTATACAGGTTTCCCCTGAGACTGAAACTCTTTCCACACTCCAGGCAGTTATACGGTTTCTCTCCTGTATGGATATTTTGATGGCTTTTGAGATGCTCATTTCTAATGAAACTCTTCCCACAGTCCAGACATTTATATGGTTTTTCTCCTGTGTGAATTTTGTGATGTTGACTGAGATGCGCTCTCTGAGTGAAGCTCTTTCCACAATCCAGGCATTTATATGGTTTTTCTCCTGAGTGGATTCTTTGATGTCTGTAAAGGTGTCCCGTAGAACTGAAGCTCTTTCCACACTCCAGGCATTTATAACGTTTCTCCCCTGAATGGATTCTTTGATGGCGTTTGAGATGTTCATTTCTAATGAAACACTTTCCGCACTCCGGGCATTCATAGGGTTTCTCTCCTGAGTGGATTCTTTGATGTCTGTAAAGGTGTCCCATAGAACTGAAGCTCTTTCCACACTCCAGGCATTTATAGGGTTTTTCTCCTGAATGGATTCTTTGATGTATATAAAGGCTTCCCCTGCAACTGAAACTCTTTCCACACTCCAGGCAGTTATAAGGTTTCTCTCCTGAATGGATTTTTTGATGTGTATAAAGGTTTCTTCTGAGACTGAAACTCTTTCCACAATCCAGGCATTCATAGGGTTTTTCTCCTAAGTGGATTCTTTGATGTATATAAAGGCTTCCCCTGCGACTGAAACACTTTCCACACTCCAAGCATTTATGAGGTTTCTCTCCTGAGTGGATTCTTTGATGACGTTGGAGATTTCCGCTTGTTCCGAAGGATTCTCTGCACACCAGGCACATCTTGGCTTCTCCGGGCATGTTGACCTTTCCCTCCTTCTGGCCTCTCTTTCCAGGCACCCTCCTCTCATGGGGTCCCCCTCGGCTCCGGACCGGCTCCTATGGGGGCGGCCCTTCCGCAGCCCCACAGCCCCCGCGCCTTTCCCCACCGTCTCCCGGGGGAGCTGCGCCCTGGACCGGGCAGGGCTCCTCAGCTGGGCTCCCTCCGCTCCTCCCGGGCACCTCTTCCTTCCTCCGCCGGACTCGTCCGTCCTCCTGAGGGGGCGAAGAGGAGCGAGGCAGTGACAGAAGATTTCAGATACACAGAGTTTACATACAAATATATTTGTGTGTGTGTGTGTGTGTGTGTGTGTGTGTGTGTATACACATACATACATACATATA